TAAATGTGTAAAAGACACCAGCAGGGGGCAGGAGGACATTATGAGAGAGTCTGCAAATGCCTTGTATCAAACTATAAAATGCTTATTTCATACTCACAGTTATCAGAGAACTGAACGCCAATCGGTAATCCACCTTGATCTGAAAGTTCACGATTAGATTTGGATTTAGAATTTAAATATGCCAGACAGTGGCCAAGTAAGGCACGCATTTATGATCCAGTCTGTAGTGTTGAGATTACTCACCTGCAGCAGCCTGCCTCTGTGGTCTTTTCTTTTCTGTGCAAAATTTCTGTGCATCAATGTTAGACAAGCAAATGCTGTCATTGTTGAGTGAACTTTCAGCTGGCCTGGATAATAATTTAAAAGGAGAGGATGTTATTCTGATGGTTCGGTAGGTGTGACACTGGTAGTCTGGCAAATAAGAAGTAAAAACTGCGAACAATGAAACGTTTTACCCATTCTCATCCTCTGAAGCTTTGTCATCTGTGTTGCTGTTCTTCTCTTTCTTCTTTCCTTTTCTTGACAGCGTCCTCTTAAAGTTTTGTATGAAGCCTCCTTTCTCTTTCTCCTCGAACTTTTCCTTTATTGTTAAACACATAAAACGATGGCGCGGGTGTCAGACAGTACGTTACAGTTATAATTCAGGTTCGATGGGTGTTAGAGTTACCTCCACACTGTCCTTGTCTTTCTTGAGCACAAAGCGTCCTTCTCTGTTGGCTGAGTTCCAGTTTAATTGCACAACTAAAGGTCTCTCATTCAGATCCAGCTTGCGTTCTTCTTCCATATAAAACATAGAAAGCAGGAAGAGCTTAGTTACTGAATCATATAAGCGACTAGAGCACGTGGCTGTGCTTGATTACTCCTTTATATCTTGTTTTAAAAAATATTAACATAATGATAAAACTGACATTTCAGTATTACCCACACATGCCACTATAAAAGCAAATAAGCAGCCAGAAACATGCAGTGTCGTCACCTGTTTTCTCTTGAGTTAATTGCTTACCCCTGTTGTTGTGGATTTCATACAGGGCATAACTAGTAGTCAGCATTTTCATGTCGGGCCTGAATTTCTCTGACAGCATGTCAATGATCTCACGAGTCACTGAGTTGCTGCAGACGCGCAGACACTTCGTGGCCACGTTGCCTTCAGCAGGATCCTCGAAGTAGAAGCGCATCACGCCATGAAATTCCAGATTCTGCCAAGAAACGTGACGTTTTTAGAGTGTTTTGCGTGTTTGCCTTTCATATTACTGCAGTCGTGAAAGAACTAAGACGAAGTTTGAACCAGCGGCTTGGGTATATGCAGGGTAACCAGTCATACATGACAGCTTTGAACTGTGTCCTGTGTTTTCTGTTCATTAAATTTACCTTTTTTATTGCATTAAAAAAAAAACACACTTTTCTATCCTTCTGTGTCCTTCCTTAACTGTGAAGGTGTATAGACTTTGAAAAGGAATGGACCAATTTAGTCTTTATAAAGAGCTGTTTTCTATTTAGGAATTTAAAAAGCTTTCAGAATGTCCCTGAGAACCGTTCCTGCTGCTCATCATGTCTAAAACAAAACAAACGACCCCTTAAATCTGAAGCTAAAAACAGGATTCCAACTGAGAAAAAGTCTGTTTTCTAAGACTTGGAGCTTGGAGTTAAGAGAAAATTTGAATTGTGATCAGTTGGTTATAGCCCCACAGAGAGAAACAGGCAGTACAGCTTACGCTAAATGTAAGTTAAATGAGCAGAGCAAGATTTACAGTTTCTGCTGTTCTCTATACAGTTGTGCTCTGAAGTTTATGTACAATTAGTTTTATGGTAATTTTAGGCTTTTAATGATTTTGATGAGCTGTTGTTTATTCAGGGTGGAATAATTATACAGTATACATCTTTAATGACTTTAAAAAACAAGAATTGGGTGCAAAGTTTGAATTTATTTTGGATTTTCTTTATACACTCACATAAATATTTTAATAAGTGATGCTGGAGTTTCCACAATGTCTTTAAAGTTGGCAAGGCCAAGGCCTGTTAACTTCTCATTAGTAATCATGATCAGGTACGACTGGTAGTTTTTCTTCAAAAAGCTTAAAAAAGATTTGTTTGACAGCACTCAGTGGATTGACCAATACTCAGAACGATGGAAAAGTAGATATACACACCCTGTGAAGGTCTGTTAGAGCCTTTTTAAAAACAACTGCAGATTCCAAGATCATCATTTCAAGCAATTGTGTATATAAATACATGTTGTTAAGATGGAAGAAGACCCACGTATCCTGTGACTCCAGCCAACTGTAATTTCCATCACCAGTTAAACTTAATCAGATAAAAATAGACATTATAATTTCCCTAAGTGGTGTCTTCTGTTGTTTTCTAACCTCATAACAAACAAATATATTTATTTGGGGGGAAAAAGAAAATTATCATTTTACTGAAATTATGAAATTACTGTTACTAACAGCCTGAGGCCTTTCTTTGTGGAGTTTGCATGTTTTTTTGTGCCTGTGTAGGCTGGATACTCCAGTTTCCCTGGAGTATCCAGGGAAACTGGCAGGTGCAGGTGGGGTACACCCTGGAAAGGGTGTACCCCACCTGCACCTGCCCAGTGACAGCTGGGATATGCTCCAGCCATGCCCCTCTGTGACCATGAACTAAGTGATAATGAAAGTGAATAGAGGCTTCTGTATTTTTATATACTTTTGGGGTTTAGCCTTTAATTGATAGGACAGTGGAGAGAAGACAGGAAATTTGGGAGCAAGAGCAAGGAGAAGACACGCAATAAATGGCCCCAGGGCAGAGTCAGACCCAGGCTTCTACAGTAACTTTATGCAATATGATTAAAAGCAGAGACTCAACCCAGTGAGCTAAACAGGCCCTCGGAAGCTTCTGTATTTAAATGTTGGGGCTATTTTCAAACACAGACTTTCTGTGTGTTCTGCAATTTTGGCTAGAGTAGCTCTTTTGCAGGATTAAACAACATCAGCCTACTTTTGCAGAGCTTTGGATCTGTTCACCCATCTCTTATTCCTTTACCCAGTTGGTAGGCACTAAGCACTACCAACAAGACCCGTTGTTTTGGAGATGCAATTATCTTGCCATCACAGATTGTCTTATCAAAGTCCATCCTCACAGAGCCACTGGCTGCTAAAGTCTGGTCACCGCTCAGACATAGTGAAGCTCAGTGGGATGTTGCACACATGTTCACTGGCTCAACCAGTAATTTATCAGTGAGAACCTTTTTTTGCAGAACCTCTACTATTCATTACATTTGTATTTATCTTCAGAGCTTCAACAGATAAAACTAAAAAATCAGTTAAGAGCACTTCCAATTAAAATTTCTGTAACCCTCCAGTGCAAGTCTCAGCCTGGCCACCTCAGTAAAAAGAATAACTACATACTAACTAAATAACTTCATATTTCAGTGGTTTGAAAACTGTGGGTGAATATAATATAGCACACACATAACTAAACATTTTCCCTATTAACCACGAATATTTCAGTTAGTTTGCAACAGATAATTTTCCTGTTTTGGAACATAAAAAGTGAAACAGCAACAAGAATGTGCTAGTGGCAAAACATCTGATCAGACCAGAAATGTAACGGCCAAAAGTACGCAGCTGATTCTTCTGTAATAATAACCAGTAAATCCAGAAATTTAAGAAGCTTTAAATTTAAGAGTAAACGCCAGAATTTGATATAAATAAATTTGAAAAACTGATTATCTAAATACTTTCTATTGATCGGCTAACTGAATTGTTCATTAGTCATTTTTAAATGAGCTTTTAAAGTAACATGTCTGTGTCTTATAATATCAAATAGCACCAATAATTAAAAGTAGAAAAACATTTTTATCTTTGAAACTACATCTAAAACTGTGGCACTGACAGAAAATACAGAAACCTTCACAAACACAGATATTTTGTGTTCCTCACCTCGTCGGGTTGGCTAATTTCAAACAAGTCCAGTCTGTTATTGTTCCACTGTCTGATGACTTTCCCTAACTTATCTTGTTCGTCCTCTTCGGGCATTTTTAACAACCAACCTCAAAGTTGTTTTCTAAATAACAGCAAAGCTCCTTCCTACAAAAACAGGCTGTTTCAGTAGGACTGCAGCTCTCATCGAATCTATTCCCCACTTACATTGTTCTCTGCAGTGAATTCTTAAACATAGTTGCCTACTTAATACTCACATACTCATCCCCTCTTCAAGCCCCCTCACCGCTCTGCCCTCATTTAACAGGTCAGTGGATCTTTGTTATGTGAGAGACACAGTTTCCTAATCACACATTTGATACAAGAAAATAATTCCCACGTTTATCGGGCAGCACAGATTTAATCTATCATCTTCTCTTTTCATTATTTTCACCACTTTCAAACATAATTGTCTTTAAAGATTGTGTTTTGCTGAGAAAACATTTTTTCTCAGTCACCTCTTTATTTCTTTTTTTCTTTTTTCACAGCATTGTTTATGCTTGAGGGAATCCCATTTCTCACGCATGCCATTGATTTTCAGCACAATTTATAGTTACATGTCTTCCCATGTATGTGGGGCAGCTTTTGTTGGCTGCTCCAAAGCTTTCTGGGTAAACCTTCGGTGGAACAAAAGGCGTAACAAAACCATCCTCAATTATACATACAGTATTGATTTTTCTTTTTTTAAATGAACAATCAAGCGTATTGTTGTCTGGATGATGGAATGTGCAGATTTCTCAGAGAAGCAGAAAAACAAAAAACTACATT